TTGAAAGGTTGAAGGGGATGGAAATCGAAAGTTTGGGGGGGGGGGGGGGGGTGCAAATCGAAAGTTTGTGGGAGGGGGGGTGCAAATCGAAAGTTTTGTCCCCGGGTGACGGGAACGGTCGCTACGCCCTGGAAGGAGTTTGTCGATTTAAAATAGATTTAAAATACCGATATTTTAGAATGTGCTCTAGAGTAAAAAAAGGTTGGGAACCCCTGGCCTAGGGCATTAGGCCCAGCCGCACAACTATGCTGTGGCCAGACCCGTGGCAATGGTTCTATGCTTTCCACTACCGAAGTGCACATACAAATGTTAGTGGCTCTTTAAAGTCTGGGAAATTTTGTAGATTGTAACTTTCGGCTCTTCCGACTCAAAAGGTTGCCGACCCCTGGTGTATTGTGTTCATAGGCCATCGTTTAATGTGTTCATAGGCCATCGTGTATTGTGTTAATAGGCAATCGTGTATTGTGTTCATAGACTATTGTGTTCATAGGCCATCGTGTAATGTTTTCATAGACCATCCGTTGTTTAATGTGAATAGCGCCATCTGGTTTGTTTCAAACGTCAAAAAAAAAATACAGAAAGCTCTGGTTGTGTTTGCTGTGGATGTGAGTTCTAACGTTATCGTCTTAATATTTGATGGATAACCGCTTATCCGATTTAGATTGGATTCGTTTCTTTATCTTGTTACTGGCGAGTAAATCTGACCAAGTTTAAATACTGAAAACGTTTCTTCGTTTGTTTTATTTGTTTTTAGGCTTTTTTCTTTCGGTTTTTATTGTTAAGAATGAATATGTTTTTTAAAAACCTGATATTTTTTTATCCTCCTAAATTAAAATAAATATTGGTCGGCTGTTCTTTGATCTAGACTAGTCTAACCTCAAGGCAATTGTTGTGTTGGGGTTGCTTTTGTTGTTTAGAGTATCAATTTGCTTTAGCTTACCCTGTGTTAAATGTGATGCTACGACTTACCCTGTGCTAAATGTGATGCTACTAATCTTGTATACCTGTGAAGACAGTGGATAAATGTGATTTCTGTTTGTTTTTTTTCTTACAGACGTGTTACCTTATTTGAAAAAGAATCGCAGACGAAAGGTAAGTCACTTTCTGTAAAGTTGAAGTGGGTACTTGAGCACAGTAGTTTGATAAGAGGGGGCGGTGACGTCTGCACCTAGTAACACCGGGTGGTAGGGGGGGTGACATAATTTTTTTTTTAAACGGTAAAATTTACTGTCAGAAAATGTTCAAATGAAAAAAATATAGTAGGAGAGAGGGGTAAAACCAAACCGACAGTTGCCGTGTGACACCCGACCTAGTGACGCCACAGTTTCCGCCAAACAGAAGGACTAGGTTTTTTCTTTATTTATTTATTTACCTTGTGTGTTGCAGCAAAGTGCATCATACAGTTTTTATCAATGTACTTAAACTTGTTATACATTAAATAACCCTAACTATACATTTTTTACTCCTGTATATACATTCTTTGTGCCGCTTTACGCCAATGTAGCACAACATTGTTATAAAAGGAATAGGGTTTGTTGGTATTTTTAAAACCAGTCAAATGTCTAGTTAGAACTGCAGTGGTTGGTCCATTCTCTTGACCACCAGGTGCCTGCTATACGTCACGTCCGTGGGTTTTGGTGGATGACGTATTGTTTGGATTAGTAAAGGTACACTTTTAGACCTGGCAAATGTAGATACTCATCTGTTTCTGTGACTTCGGCATGCGAAGGGATTCTATAATTATTTCTTTACTTCCCGTAACGTGAGTTAGGTCCTAGACCTACGGGCTCAAACAGGGGATCCGAACTTTACTTTCTAGTTATCAGTTATACGTTCTACCCCCCAACCCCGCCGGCCCTAAGTACCTGCATTACGTTACCTTAATCACAAGGGGTAGTCTCTTTTTGTTTGGGTGAATCCTCGTCGTTATAGCGAATGGTTAAATATTATGGCTTTCTAAAAGTATTTCATTAATTGTGGAATATATGGTGTATGTTGTTGTGTTAAACGTGAAATATTCAAACAAGTTTGTAGACTTAGCCATGGTTTTTTTTTTCTGGTAAAAACGCAACTTTGGAGTACCCAAAAACAGGTTTAGTCATCGATGAATTCTATTGTTTAATGTAGCCTTCAAGTAAGCTTCGCTTTGTTTTAGAAGTGAATTTTACGAATGTAAATCCTCATTCATGTTTTGACAAAAGACTCCGTCGCCAGGTCTGTTTACAGTGGTAATCCTACCACAAGCTCTCGGACCGTTGAAAGCGGCGTTTATCGCCCGTAACGACGGCCACATCAAAGGTCGACGCGCGACGTCAGCTTACATCTCCGTTTGGTGGGCGTGGCCAGATTTTTAAGTGCCCAAAATTTAATAACTTGAGATCGTTGTTTTTTTTTCTCTCTCTGGTGACGTGAACGATCACACACACACGCACGTACACACACCGTGTGTGGGGTAGATGTGTGCCGTGATTGAAAGTTTTTTTTTTTTAACTCGTCTGCTGATCATTTGGTTAACTGGTTTTGACAGTGAAATACGCCGACAACTCGCTATGGCAGGGTCTAGCCGCTCGTTCAACTCTCGGGGTGGATGACATCTCAGCTGTACATTTGATAAGTGTCTCGTGAACACGTTTGCTAGGTTTAGATCGTGTACTCTAGTCTATTATAAAGCAGGTACTGCTATAAACGTATGGGACTTAGATAATTTTATGTTACCTGTTATTAAATTTCAACTGGAGTGAGGAAATGAGGGTGACCGTTATTACTACAGTAACAATATGAACGTGCATAGGTCAACAACCTGAACAAGGTACAGGAAATTGTTATGTAACACGTGAGTACAGATAGATAGGGCACAGAGATCACACCTCAAATAGCAAAAATTTGCGGTATTGCTACCAAGTCTGATAATTTTTTCTTTAGTTAAAATGTGAGACTTTTTCTTCGTTCTTAATTGTAGTATTAGAGATTTCCTCAAACACAACGAGTATTATGTGTCAACTTATTACGCGCCTTATAACTCGTCTACTACCGAATTCAGTCCGCTTTTCTTCCTGGTTTTAATACCATAGCCTTTAACCAAAACGTGAAACAAAATACATTCACAGCACCCAAACTTGAAATCAGCTGGGTGCCATATGTAAATGTATGTTGTTCGGCTATCTCTGTTGTACTTAATCACACAGTCCCGTCCACGTAGAAAAACCAACAGTGTATTTTAAATTATAGTTTTTTTTATAAACAAAAGCTGTTTTTTTTCTATTATTTTTTTACCACACCTCCTCGCTCCACTCACTGGTGATTAAGCTTCCAATAGGCTAGCTGTCTCAAAACAAACTTTTTTTTTCTTCTATTGTTAGTCATAGTCCTAACGGGGAGTATGATTAAGGTTGTTGTTTTTTTATCCTAACAAACCCTATTCCTTTTATAACAATGTTGTGCTACATTGGCGTAAAGCGGCACAAAGAATGTATATACAGGAGTAAAAATGTATAGTTAAAGTTATTTAAATTATAACTAGATTACGTACATTATTCAGAACTGTATGATACACGTTGATGCAACACACAAGGTAAATAAATGAATTTGAAGAAAAAAAAACTCTAGTCCTACTGTTAGCAACACCTCACCCACCCATCCCTCACTACCAGCGATGTAAATCTCCTTATAAACCTTTTTTGTTCGTTCTACTTTTAGCAACACCTCCCCATCCCCCCAGTGATCGAGGAAGTCTCCGGCGTGCCGCTAGCCTCCACCCCGTACAGAACTCGCAGGAACTCCAGCTGTAGCAGCACCACCAACGTCATCAGCGGTGACGTCAACTCCAGCATCAACAGCGTCAAGAGCACCAGCAGCGCAGGGAGCCAGAACAACCCGGACGTCCCCGGCCCGCAGAGGGTCCCAGAATTTTACGGCGAACCCTGCCAGCTAGTGCCGACTGCAGCGCCCCTGGCCGCGGCCCAGGTTATCCCCCCTCAGCAGAGTTTTATCCCCGCTAACTTCCCTTACACGGCCTACCCTGGTCCAGCTTATGTTGGTCCTTGCATTGGCCAGAGTCCAGGATTAGACAGCCATTTTGGGTGAGTATTTTTTTTTTCTTTTGTCATATTTTGGATGTGGTGCAATGAACCTAACTTAAACATTAAGACATTTTTCTTTGGGTTAAAGCATTGCCATCTCATGGAAAGATGCCTGAAAGAAACACCGATTTTATTTGGGATTTATTTTTTAGAATCATTAACTCTTTTTATAGTTTGAGTTGTGTTTACATAAAGTTCACTTTAGCCAATTACCCAAAAGTTTCAATAACTTTTTTGACCACACCGTATTTAAAAATGATCAAGCTAGGTGTACATTTCACAAGTAAATTGCCCTATTTTTTTGGTGGCATCAGCAAATGCTGGAACATTCTAGTCCAAGCACTTTAATTTTACCTGACATCTCAGGTAGCCTTTAGTAGACACAGGGACATGGTTTTTTTTATATACACAAGCTTTGGATAAAAGCTTAAGCTAGATATATAACCTTTTACCACATCTTTTATGAAAAACTATTTTGTACGTTATTATTCCTCTACTTCTAGTGTTGTGCCTGATCCTTCAGCCAAGTTCACCTCAGCCAACCTGTACTGTACTGGCACACAAGGGGAAACTGGCCAGTTTGTGACCACCTTTGACCCCAACCAACCTTACTGCATGATGAGCGCAGGACACTCACCCTCCCAGATGTACTGGATGCCCGTGATGGCCGTGCCGTACCCCCCCAACATGGGGCAGGTCGGCATGGGTTGGTCACCCCCACAGGACCCCTACGGCAGGGACATGCCTCTTTCAGGTGGGTCATTTATTTTTGTTGGGGCAGTGAATGACAATATATGGAGTGAATGTCCATTTGTCCATAGAGGGAGTGAATGTCCATAAAGGGAGTGAATTAGTGAATGTCCAGGGGTCGGCGTGGTCGAGTCGGTAAAGCTCATGGTTGCTAAACCGCTCATGGTTGCTAAACCGAAAAAAGTCTCGAGTTCGAACCCTCAGGCAGATGAGGCTCGTTAGCTGGGGACAGCCACTCTTCTAGGAGAGACAACTCCAAAATTAAACAACTGCTGCCTTGTAGTTTGTTCTTGGTTGGACTAAGGCTATGGAAGCAAATCCAAAAAGAAAAGCAGGCTGAAATCGGAGTCAATGGCGCATAACCAGTTGACACGTAACGCTTAATTGTGTTGGAGGCGTGGTCGAGTCGGCAAAAAGCTCATGGTTGATAAATTCGAACAAAGTCTCGAGTTCAAACCCACTGGCAGATAAATCTCGATCCCATTCTATACTAATAATTAAGAACGAAGAAGAAGAAGAAAGAAGTGAATTTCCATATGACCAAATAGGGAGTGAATGACAGTAGAGAAAGTCAAATGTACACAAACTTGGATTACTTGGCTTGAAAAGTTTCTGGATTCAGAGACTAAATTAACAATGTACCTATTAAAAGCTGACAGTATGTTTAAAGCAGATGAAGTAGAGTTCAACTGTTCCTGCGACATCTGCATATAAAGTAATTTCGTGCTCAGTATGTATTCCTTAAAGATTTCCTTACTAGAATCCAGTAATCATTAAAGCTGGGTGAACTCAGGAACATGCAAGTACCTTGAACCCAGGAACTAACCCTACCCACACTCTCCCGCTGAAGCTTGAGAAACAAAGCTACAGCGCCCCTCATTGCTCTAAAAGCCATTACTGTATAGATAAATATAATTCATCAACTGAACATGATTTAGAATATAATGAGAAAAAAAAGTTTGAACCTTTTGCTGTTTGTTAACATTTTACCTTTTCAGCACTGGATACTTGACCTTTCATTTCATTGCAGGTGTAGAGGTAAGTGGTAAAACCTTTTTATACTGCTCATTACTAGATAAAACAAATGTCCGCTTTTACCAGCATCTGCATGTAGCATTGTGGTTTCACTATAGAATGTGAAGTGCCCAGTGGTCCGTTGACCTTCATTACCCTAGCTCATGTTATTTTAAACAGACACAATCCAGTTTGATTAACTTGTGTCACAGTGAATGGTCTGTAACTGAATGGGGTAGTGTATTGAGTAGATGAAGTAGAGTTTACCAGTTTCTGTGAACTCTACTTATGAAGTAATAGTGTGGTCGATTGAAATTTTCTCAAACTTGAATTCAGGTATCCATCAAAATGTCAGCCATATGGCCACACAAAATGTCTGCCCCAGAAACACACAAAAGTCTGTCAGAGACACACAAAATGTCTGTCCTAGAGCCACACAAAATATTTGCCCCAGAGACACAAAATGTCTGTCATATGCCCACACAAAATGTCTGTCATATGGTCACACAAAATGTCTGTCATATGGCCACACAAAATGTCTGTCATAGAGCCACACAAAATGTCTGTCATAGAGCCATACAAAATGTCTGTCATAGAGCCACACAAAATGTCTGCCAGAGCCACACAAAATGTCTGTCATATGGCCACACAAAATGTCTGTCATAGAGCCACACAAAATGTATGTCATATGGCCACACAAAATGTCTGTCATAGAGCCAAACAAAATGTCTGTCATAGAGCCAAACAAAATGTCTGTCATAGAGCCATACAAAATGTCTGTCATATGGCCACACAAAATGTCTGTCATAGAGCCACACAAAATGTCTGTCATATGGCCACACAAAATGTCTGTCATAGAGCCACACAAAATGTCTGTCATAGAGCCACACAAAATGTCTGTCATAGAGCCAAACAAAATGTCTGTCATAGAGCCACACAAAATGTCTGTCATAGAGCCAAACAAAATGTCTGTCATAGAGCCACACAAAATGTCTGTCAAAAGGGCACACAAAATGTCTGCCCCAGAAACACACAAAATGTCTGCCCCAGAAACACACAAAATGTCTGCCCCAGAAACACACAAAATGTCTGCCCCAGAAACACAAAATGTCTGCCATAGAGCCACACAAAATGTCTGCCCCAGAAACACACAAAATGTCTGTCATAGCCACAAAATGTCTGCCCCAGACACACAAAATGTCACTGCACTTGTATGTTCTTTAGACTCCAGGCATATTAATAGACTTGGAAGATCATTTGTGCTGAATGCACAGAGATTTTTTTTATCTAAAATTGTATGAACCTTTTCTTTAGTGTAAAATCTTCTAGTCGCTGAAGCATGAAAAGACTAGTAAATAAACCCATCTGACCTGAAGGAATAGATAAAATCTTGTTCCACAAGGCTTTGGGTTATTATATGAATTATTTCCCTCCATATAAATTTAACTGAATGTAAAGTTTTTTTTTTGAGCATGAATATTTAGATTTTTACAGTAGACATGAAAAATATCTGTTCTCCTTTTGTGACTTTTTTCTTTCATTTACTTGCCAGTATCGGCCCAAGCATAAAATATCAATAGCGTTTCTCGTGGCTGAATGTATGCAGTGGGCTGTGTGTCTCAGATAATTTACTGTAAAAGGTTTTCAGTCTAGGGAGGTTTGGGTAGTGTGAAATTTGTTTCAGACATGTTTCATAGGGGGACTGTGTGTTGCTCAATCTTTTTATAGGGGATGGTAAGTAGCTAGATCTATTTCATAGAGTGATAGTATGTTCTTAGATGTTTCATAGAGGGACTGTGTGTTGCTCAATATCTTTTTTAAGATGGACTGTAAGTTGCTAGATATCTTTCATAGAGTAATTTTATGTTCTTAGATGTTTCCTAGAGGCACTGTGTGTTGCCTATTTTCTTTTTATAGAGGGACTTTAAGTTGTTAGATTTGTTTCACAGATGGATTTTATATTGTTCAATATTTATTTGTAGGGACTAAGTTGCTAGATCTATTTCATAGAGTGATTGTATGCTCTTAGATGTTTCATAGATTGACTGTATATTCTGTTTCATAAGAGATGATGCTGTTAAATGTTTCATAGCGGGACTGTATATTGTTTAATATCCGTATCATAGATGGACTGTATGTTGCTAAATCTGTTTCATAGTGTTAAAAATCTATTTCATAGTAAGCACTATATATGCGATTGTGTGTGTATAACATCAATATTCGTAAGTGTAGGATTTAATCAATGTATTTTGGTAATTACTGTAAAGATTCTTTTCCATTGTTAGGTTTAGTGTTAGACTTGTCATAGTGATTTCTTTCAGTGCTTAGGTTTAGGGTAAATATTAGATTCGTGTTGGTGTTGTGTTTTGATAGGGCTGTTGCTAGTTTAAATACTTGTCTTGGTGTTGTTAGAGTGGTTAGAATTATGGCTAGTGTTTCCTTTAGCTTTCCTAAAGATAACCATCTAGTTTTTTATCCAGCATTTCATTGTGTTGTCCTGGTTAAATTAATACACTGTAAGATGACCTCTGACCTTTAGGGGCTTGTATCTTGAGCTGTCCTTTCCGCAAGTTTAATTATAAATATAATCGTAAACATTGTTTGTTTGTCTTACTTGTTGTAGCCTTTTGTGTATTTTATTACTATTATATATTATTTGGGACCTTGTTTGTTTTTGGTTTACTTTGGTTCTTGAATTTAACTGCCTGTGAAATACATGAGACAAGAAAACAAAACATAAGAAATAAAATGTTTAGGCCTATATGATATGCTCTCATATTGAGCAACATTTTTGCAAATTATTATTCATTCGTCTGTTTCCAGAAATTTGGATGACTTCTACTTATTTTATTTACTGTGAATAAAAAAAAATTAAATTCCGATTAATTAAGACACTAATTATTTGTCCACAGTACTACAGGATGTCCACTCAAGGCAACCCTGAAATGGGGCCGATGGCACCTGGCACTGTCATGGTGGACAGTTACGGGAATTACACAAGCGTTGGACCGATGATGTGTGGCGACGCCTACATCAACAGCGGATACGGATGCGTGGCACCCGGATACAGCGAGGTCACCATGACCCCAGGTGTGAGTGGTGGTGAGAGCGATAAAATTGTTTCTAAAACTGTTCCGTCAGACAAGTGTGGGAGGGCTGGCTTGTTTAACACCAGCGCCCTGCGACCTTCTGACCTACGACCTTCTGACCTCTCGGGCGGCAGGTCTTATCTGAGTGATAAAGTTGTGGGTTGTGATAAAATTTCAGCCACGGTTGAGGATAAGAGTAAGCTGGAGGACAGCGGTAAAGAAAGTGTTGGTCAAGCGGAGGAGGGAGGTAAAGAGGGTAAGGCTAAAGAGGATGAGGAGGACAACGACAGCGAGGGCATGGACGTCGGCAGCGACGGCGACAGTGGCTGCCCTAGCGAATGCGCTGACCTCTCACCCGTCAGTGGCCCAGATTCTTTCTCCTCCTCCGAGCTGGTGCACTCGGATGGAGGGGAAACAGCTTCAGTGACTGAACAGTCGGCTGCTGAGAGCAGCAAGCCGAAAGGCAAGCGCCGGTATTACATGTACGGGAACCACAAGCTGGTCAAACCCATTAAAGAGATCCCGCTGCGGTTTCAAATTCTTTTAGCGGAGACCAGCGCGGCCAAAGCTAGGTGCGAAGGCCAGCCAATTTACATGCAGCACCACCCCCAGCCTCAGCCCATGTACGACATTGTGTACTACCACGCCAACGACGACTCGCAGGTTACGCTTAACGCTAACGCTTCTTGTTTTGTCCCTAACCCCGATGGTGGCGGTGTAGATGCTAGCGCTAACCCTTACCTGCCTGAATGCTACCCCGCTTACTGCCCGGTGTCCGGGTACCCCGGTGCAGGTGCCACTAACACCCCCTCCAACTCTCACGCTATGCCGCCTGCGCATGTCTTTGTGCCCCCACTGCCCCCCGCGTCCATCCCGCCCCACTCCCCAGGTTCTCAGAACTGCCAGACAATTATTGTTTACTCATCTCAAACTACCAACCCTCCCTCACAACCCCCTGCAACCCAGCATGTTCACACAATCAGCATGCCTCCCCCTTTTCCCCCTCCCTCGTCATTACCCCCACCCCCAATAGACATGTCCTCTAACAATTCTCCGCCTGTATCCAACCAAGCAGGTCGACCCATCCAGGTCAATCACGGCCAGACCAAAACAACTTCTACGTATGTTGAACAGCATATCAAAACATACAACCAGCCTCAGCCCCCAAACAAATCCCTCCCCATTCCGTTAAACATCCCTCCCCCAAACATCCACCCCAGCTCATCAAACCACTCGGCCCCGCCCGTCTCCATGTCCCCCTCCCTGACCTACACCATGGCCCCCAACTACAGCAGCCCTACTTACATGACCATGCAGCCTAAAGTGGGTTTCCCCCCTCAGGGCTCACCTGTCCAACCCCTCCCCTCCACCCCCACCAGCCAGCCCCCGGCCCCCAGCTACCCTGTCCCCCCAGGTAACCAGTACATGTATGTTTACACCTCTCCTCCCGCAGGTCAGCCAGCCACACAACCACATGTGGTGTACATGGTAAGCCCTAGCTACCCCTCTTCACAGAGCTTCCAACAGCAAGGTGTCCTAGTCCCACCCACCTGTCCTGTTCCTGTTCAGTGAAGACCAGACAGAATGAAAGTGATAAACAAGTGATACACAAGCTAAAAAAAAAAAAAAAATAGAACATCCTTCAAAGTGATACATCTATTTATAGCCCTTTATCAACCTGTAATATAACGTTCTAATTTAAAACAAACCTGTGCTGAATGTGATATCTATCATTGCACTTTTAAACTACCTGCTAGAGTCACTTCTTTTTTCAACTTTTTGAGCCTTAACATAAACAATATTATGACCCCACTCAATCTGACTCCGGAACTAATCCTCTACGCTTTTTGCCTGCTTTTCTTTTCTTCTCTTTTAAAAAAAAATTATAACCTTTTTTTTTCTAATTTAAAACCTTCATATGGTGATGGTTTTTTTTTAAACACCTTTTATTCTGCATTGCATGAGGTTGATTAGGTTTTACTTTTTAACAAACCAAAAGTTCTCTGAACTAGAATTTGACAACTTGTATCTTAAAATATTAGATTCTCTATAGTGAAACAAAAAAATTAAAAGTCAGAGGACTTGCATTATTGAATCTTGCAAAGTAGCTTAAAATTATTATTTTTTAAATATCTAAAACTATCATAACCATATGCACTACTCTTAAGATGCATAAAAGGTGGTCATTTCACTAATTATCTTGCAATTAACAGACTGACCCCTATGTTTAAAGTACAATTAATTACTTATATAAATACAGTATTACTTTCTGCTTCAGTGCTTGAAATGTATATGAACTAGAGAACTGTACCCATTTTGTCTTTGAATGTTTGTTTTTTCTGCTTGCTTGACTTGTTTTAGAAATAGTTAACACACCCTGACAGTTCAGTGTATTACAATTAATTTGTACCCAATTAAATTGTGCAAATTATTTGAATTGAGTTCCAGGTGGCTGAAAATTGCTAATAAATCCAATCTGTTTTAGTGTGTGCCTTAAACCTGTTCATGTTGTAATCTGCTGCTGTATTTTAATTCACTTTATCGCGATCAATTACTTTACTGTAAAATTTAATTTTGACTTCCGTTCAAGATTATTTTTTTTTAGCTTGGGTTCAGTGTTGTTTTTTTTTTTTTAAATGTCACTTCTAGAAATTAGCTGCTCATCAGAGAAAAATTCGGCACAGTTTCTGAGCATTTCTGTTTGAATTGTTAGATCTTATGTGGTATAACTTGTAGTAGCTTACTTTAGACTGTGTAGTTTCCCCATCATAAAACTATAAAATTCACCTTTTGGCCATCAAATAGTTTTGATGCTGTTTTTCAATGTAGATCAATCTTAATAAATTGTTTTCTCGATGCTCCTTCCTAACTTTTTTTAATGTAGTTCAATTTTAAATTTGTTTCGTCAAATGTACCTTCCTAACTTTTTCCAGTATATAAATTATTACCTTGTTCTGTTGATGTGTAACTTTTTAAAGTAGATCAAGCCAGAGTACAGATGCAGTAGTGTTTTTGTTTGATTGCTTTATCTAGTATTATTCCAGTGTTTGATTTTTATTTTTTTTATTATAGAAAAACAAACCTGTAAATATGTAAACAAACCAATGTTCTACTACTTGTCCATGTGTATTTGTAACAATTACACAGAGAATAGTCTGCTTGTCAAGAGTCAACATCTAAAAAAAATTAGGTTTTTTTCATAGCTGAACATTCGCAAAACTTTATATATCACAACTAGTTAACCTGTAAAACATTTTTTTAAGTATATTCTACATACAAGTACTCATGAACAGAGTAAATTTATATTCACATATTAGAGATAGGCCTATTATTTTATTTGTTGTCAAACTGCAGTTTAAAAGTTAAGACTTAATACTTACAATTTTTTATTATAAAGCATTGTATGCTACTTTATTGAATTAGTGTATAATAATAATATAGTAATTTTAAAAATTCTTCTGGAAAGTTTGTTTTTTTATAAAACATTTTTTGCTAAAGTCTGACTTTTCAACTGCTAGAAGCAGTGTCGCAGCAACATTTTAAAAATTTAATTTCTGACCCTATTTACATACGCTGCTAATATAAAAACTGCTGCTATATTCACTATTTTTGTGTGTATGGAAAGAATTATTGCATAATTCAGTACCTAGTCATTTAACTTATTTGTTGATTTCTGTATATTATATGCATCTGCTGGTTCATAACTTTGTGTATTGTCTCTTCCTAGCTCAGGCTGGTGTCTTGGTGTGTTCACTAAGGCTGATAAACACTGGGCCATCCAAGTGTTTAAACACAAGGCCATCCTGGTGTTTAAATACTGGGCCATCCTGGTGTTTAAACACTGGGCCATCCTGGTGTTTAAATACTGGGCCATCCTGGTGTTTTAATACTGGGCCATCCTGGTGTTTAAATACTGGGCCATCCTGGTATTTAAACACTAGGCCATCCTGGTGTTTAAATACTGGGCCATCCTGGTGTTTAAATACTGGGCCATCCTGGTGTTTAAACACTGGGCCATCCTGGTGTATTAAACACTGGGCCATCCTGGTGTTTAAACACAAGGCCATCCTGGTGTTTTAATACTGGGCCATCCTGGTCTTGAAATACTGGGCCACCCAGTGTTTAATTCTGAACTGTTCCTGTTTAAACCGTTCTCAGTCCTTTTTTCCTTACAATCAAAGCTGATAATCTCAGTGCCTTGACAGACACAAGTCTAAGATTCTAGCAATATGACATGTGTTCAACTGTATCTCGGCTGTGTTCAACCGTATGAAATGTTTATCTATGCAATGCCACTGTCTGCATCATTCCATTTTATGACAGTCCGCACCTGGTTTATGTAAATGACCTTAGAAAGTTCATGTAACAAAATCATAACATTTTTAAAGGTTGCCAAAACAGTTTATTTTAAAATTTGTGATACAGATTTTTTTTTTTTACTGAAACATTTTTGTGGAACGGAGTCTTAAGAGCACCTGTGTTAATATGTGATGTATGCATTTTGCAATGTACGTATTCAGGTATTCAGCGCTGCTTAAGATTTCTCAAGTATTTCATGTCTGCTGTGGTGTTGATCTTGATGCTCAAACCATATGTGCCTTGACCTGACATGCGTTCCTTTACCACAAGCAATAACGTAGACCATAAACGTATATCTGGTTTTAGATAGTATTTTATTTTGAAGACATTTACTTTTTAAAATGATTGCTGTTGCATTCCATTTAACTGTTTTGTGAGTTTTGTCAGATTTAATCTTTTTTAACATTCTGTTCATGCTGTATATTGTTTTATTTTGCTCTTAAATTTATATGCAGAAATCCGTGTTATAATCATTTTATTACAAGTAACTTTATTGGAATTGAAATGTAAATTTGTTTTAAAAATATGTTAGTAATTTGTTAGATCGTTTTAGTTTTGTTATATTTACAAGAATTGTTTTTTTTTAACTTTATTGATGGCAAGCCAGATGCACAATTGGTAGCTGAGTTAAACCAGAACATATTTTCTTAAAAGAAATAGTCACTGAAAGTTGCCCCCCTTTATATCTCTCCCAAAGTTACCACCCTTTATATAATTTAGTGAAAGCCTTGTCATTAGTTGGCAAAATTTTTGTTTTTCAAACTTCAACTTTTTTGCTTAGCTAGTAATCTTTTAATCTATACTTGTAACTTGTTCACTAAATTTGTTACTTCTTAAAAATAATATATAGTGAAGTGGCCTATTAAGTTTCATTCTGTGGTCCTTACCAATCGATGCAATGGCCTATTTTTTTTTTAATCCTAAAAATGAAATGGTCTGTTTACCTTGTGCCCGAGTTGCCTCTGGCTGCCGTTCTTGTTCTGTTTTAATATTTTTCTTCATGTTTAAAAAGTTTTTATTTTGTTTTACGAAAAGCTCCCAGGAGGGGATCAGTTTTCCAATTTTTTGTTTATAAAAATAAAATTGTTTTTAGATTGATTCTACCGTTTGATTCATGTGATCAATAATTATTTATTTTTAAAATTCTGCTATTAATCCTTCAGACATGTTTTCATTATGTTGCACTTATTTTGTCATTTTGATTTTAATTATTTTAAACTTCTTATGATGCATAATGAAGATTATTTAATATATCACCACATACAATATCAAATAACATTCCTCTTTTTACCATTTTTTTTCCTGCAATAAATTAAAAACCACAAAAACTATTTTTCATGTTATAGCTCAATTGTTTTTGGTGAGGGTGTTGTTTCGTTCTTTTTTCCAGTTGAAACTTTTATGATTTTTACTTCCAGTTTTTGTTATTGTCATTTGACCATAATAAATCAGTTCCATGACTTCCTTTTTTTTTTTTTTTAAAAAAACAAAAACAGTTTGTTAGTGCAATTTCTTTACTTCCTATGTAATCCATGTTTTTTTTTCAAACTAGACATGTCATTACCTATTTTGAATGTTGAAATTTTATGTCTTGAAATGCTCAGTTGTAATCCATAGACTCATATTCATCATTAGACTGTGTTGACTGTCAACAATAAAATTTTGTCACTAAACGGCAAGTGTTGGTCACTTGTTACAGAGGGAATGTTGAAAGTGATTTGTCGGAAATAGTGAAATTTATTCCTTGCCCATTTGTTAAAAATATTTGCACATTATCTCTTCATAAGCCGAGGTCACAGAAACAGATGAACTCGACTTCACTCGCCCCATAGACTGTCAGGTTTGAAAGGGAAATTTTTAGAAGTTGAAACTGATTTAGTAATGTGATAAATAAAAAGAAACCAATTCCTATTGAGTCACTTAGGCAAATCTACCTAGTGATTATACCACAGTTTAAAACTGAACAGTTTTAATGTGGCTGCACTGTTGGTACATCCAGTAGATTTTACTGTTTAACTCATGTAGTTTGGCCAGATGGTCTATTGAAATTTTAAGAAGTTGAGTTCTTGTATCTCTCAATAGAAACTGACCAATGACTTCTTCCTGTGTCTGATGGGTCTTAAGTTCAAAGGTGAAAGGTTGTGTTTTTTTTTTGTTCGGAGACAAACTCATGTTTAAATAAATTAACCAAGATCATATTATTGGGGGACCCAGTGGTGTAGTGGCCATTGCAACAGACACAAGAACCGCCCAGATACAGGATCCAAACCCACCAGCACCCAAAGTGGCGATGACCCCCCCACACACACACACAGACAAACTGAAAAAAAAACCTCACCCAACAAATAAAAAATAATTCACACAAAATAAACAAGATGAATCAAACAAAGTAGAGAATTCCTTTTTTTTTATTATAGTTTCAAAAAATTAAAATTGTCATGTAATGCAATATGTGATTTGAGAAACAACTGTATAACCTTATGTCTCCCTCCAACACAATGAGTTGCCTCTCACCAAAGGCTGATTTTGTTCATTTGTAACACTTATTTCATTGCTGAAAACCCATGTTATTTTTTTATATTTTTTTTTCCCAATCAGATTGCTGCTGTCAAAATAGTTCAAATGGTTTTTAGTTACAATTTTCAAGAAACTTCACCACAATAGTGTTCATATGTGAATGAGTAATAAGAATAGCTAAAATCCCAAATCAATGTTAAAGGAACCCCCCCCCCCCTCATATTTTTGACAAGTGAAATAAAATATGAGTTGCATTGTAACTCATTTGGTCCTGAAGGGTTACAGATAAACATATGTATCAACATACAGATATACATTTAATATACAGATCACAAAGATTTGTATGGACTTAGATATCAAAACATTAAACTTATAGGTCACAAAAAAAATACACACAACAATCACACATTTAAAATAGTAAACTTGCTCTTTCATACCTAACAATCCATACAGTAGATGAAGTAGAGTTCATGTTCTTGACCTCAGCATGGTGAGGTCAGCACTAAGCCTTTTCTTCCTCTAATGTAAGTCAGGTACCCATCAGAGCTGGGTGAACTCAGGGATGTCCTAGAGTCTCAAGTTCGGACCCAGATCCAAACTCAAGACCTTCTGACTAGCCGTAGAAAGCTCTTTCATTCAACCATGCCATCCCATACACATTTAACATACTGATCACAAAATTTGTTTTTCAACATTTAACTTAAGGAACAAAAGTGTGTATCAACATACACATATCACACATTTAACTTTAAAAAAACACATTTAACTTAGAGAAGAAACATTTGCATTAGTTTAAAGATATCACATGTAAAATATTTATTTAAATAGAAAAAGAAAGCCTCCAGATTTTCACACTTAAATAACAGGGTTAAGCATCTTTAAAATAAAAATACCAAATAGTTTGCGGCATATATACACTTGATAGCTTCAAACAACAGCCATAGAATAAAAGGTGACAGCTATAACTTGGCTGGATGACCCTGAGTATCACAGCATTGAGAACGTACATAAAATATTGAGTTGCTACACAACCATTCCGTGCATCAGCATCATTTTATTTTTTAATAACAATTTTTAAATTTATATTAACAAAATGATTGTGATCGCCATTACTAGTTTTATTAATTAAAATTTACAAATTATACAAAAAGTGTTTTTAAAAAAAAATGATATGCTTATTGGATAGAAATTCAACCATTTTTAACAATGGAATGTTAAAGTCTTTAAAATTGTATACACAATGTGTTCTGAATGTTAGATAATTAAACATTTTTTTTTTTACAAAAGTCTTGAAAAAAAAAATTAAAATGAAAGTGCTAGTAAATATTTATAAAAAAAATAATTTCAAAATAATCTTTAGAAAGAAAAAAGTGAAACGGAGAAAATAATGTTAAAAAAAAATTGTAAAATTGTTGGTGGAGACAAATGTGGGCTAATAAAAAAATTATTTTAAAAAAAAGTCATGATAAAGTTATTTGTGAATTGCTTTATATAGTGCAAGTCAATGTATTTTTTTTTACTTATCTGAAATAGTATCACAGACTATTTCTGAAAAAAATAAAATGATAAAATGATTGCTTTTCTTAAATATTTCTCATAATTTTAATAGTTTCATATAAAAATATATCACTGATTAAATTAAATGTGATCAAGTTTACTAAACATTAATAAATACATACATTTTCTACATGACTCCAAAAAAAATCTTAAAATAAATATATATTAAAATTATATAAAACATAAATTAGTCATCACAAAAAAAAATCATCTACAAAAATACATCACCATAAAATTATACTTTTTTTTACAAGTATCAACAAAATCAACAGGAAACAAAAGTTAGGCAACAATGCTTTTGTTGAATAAATGGGTTTAAACTAGCAGAGTTCTAGTCCAGAAGGATGATCAAAAGAAAACAGGACCTCATGGAGCTCTACAACCCCTATGAGAACCATAAAAACCTCCACTGGTACAGAAAGGGTTAAGCTGTGTAAGATGTACTTGAAAGACTGGATGTCAGTATCAGCTTGTGTGCAGCTTAGGTGTTTAGAGAAAAGTCTGCCTACTCTAAGTGACAAGGTGCTGTGTGCTTACAGACACCAGGTCATGTGTGCTCATAGGCACCTGTTGATGAGCACTCACAGAATTTTAAAGAAAACTGAAACTCGAAGTTTTAAAAAAAAAAAATAGCTTTTAAAAATATTTTTTCTTTACAGTAAAGACATGATGATGTCTTTGATACTACCAATATGCAAGATTACGTACTGTTATTTTATGTGATTTACCATTCATAAAAGAGTTGTCTTATAACAATTTTAAAAGTTTTCTTTTTAAGCAAAGTAAATTTGAGCATCAACATTGTTTCATAAACTTAATTTTGCAACATCTGGCCTACCTCAAAAAAGTAATAAAAAAACGATTTTTTATTTAATTAAAAATTTATGAGAACAATAACTTCATAAAATGTCAAGCCACTTTTCATCAATGATAAAATCAATAGGCAACAGCCACTGAAGGAAATTTCAGGGGAAGTAATGTGATACATATCAAGGGACGTAATAGAGTTTGAGATAACTCAAGATGGTCTGGTTAACTTGAACTTTGTTTAGATGCTGCTTGTGTACTTGTGAGTGAGACACTAATGCCTGGGACAAATGCCTAAAAGACCAGCTGCCTGAGATATTAAACCAATCTTTATAAATAATCTACAGAATTTATTTTTTGGGGTTTATTGTGACTGTTGAACACACATAAAACAAACTTTAAAATTTTATATAAAATTCTATTGCAATTAATTTACTCTTTAATCCCATAATTGTAATGGTTGTTGCTATGCCTAATTGTGATAAGCTAAGTACTTAGACAACAATCAACCATAGTTCATTGTTTACATGTTTTGTTTTTTATCTAAATATTATTGTTGTTTCACTACTTTCATTGCTGTCTGTATATCATGTTTTTAAACAATCAATGTACTTTATCATCACCTAGTGCAATCATTGCCAAAGAAAATAGCTGTTTTGAAGTGAATTGGAGAGGGAGGGGGTTAGGCTAAAGTGTGATTTCAATTAAGAGGGGTGGTCTGTCTTTTTGTTAGTATTAAGAATCTTGACATCATTTATGGAGAAGCCCTGTATACATATAGACAGATAGAGAGAAAGAGAGAGAATAATATAGAACATTACCAAATGTGGAGCAACTCATCAGTTGCTCTAGACTTCATCAAACGATCTTAAACAAAAATTAAAAAAATAATATTGTACCTGCAGAGAAAATATCTTTGGAATAAGTGAAAACATTGTGTCTTAACTATTCACATTTTTTTAAAAAGCATTCTGCATGTACATTTTTCATATCTGTGATATCTGTTATATCAAAGTTATTTAATTAATAAAAGTATCATTTTAGGCACATATTAGTAACAATAGTAGCCATATTAAGTAAGCATAAAACAGATCAGCTTAGGTTGCAATCAGCATAGTTGGTGTTTTATTATGGTCCATTTTACACAAAAATTAGCATGGTTTTTTATGGTCCATAGAGAATACATAGGTATTTAGAATATGGATAAAACTTTGTAAGGTGTTTTAAAATGTGACAACAATAAAATCACAGCTTAGCTTTTGTGTGAAAAAAAATATATAAATATTTTTTGTTTTCTATAAGAAAAATATTTCTGCATTAAATATAAAACATGGAATTGTGTTGTAGGGTAAAATAAATCTGCATACATTAATTAAATCATGCATACTACAATAACCATGGTATAATTAAATCATGTATATTGTAGTTTACTTCAAATAAATCATACCAATTAAAGTTAGCATAGAATAATCTATACATTAGACCTAACATGAAATAAGTATGCCACATAAATTGTAGTTAATATGTAATAAATTAGATACGAACCTTTAAAAACATTAATAATTTTGGTACGTTAAGTGCACAAGGTATGTAGTGTTTTGTTGCCTTTATATTTGTGTCAAAAAATTTTTGCTTGATTATTAGGTTTTTTTTTTAGGATTTCAAACACACACTTTGTTTAACCTACTGATAAATAGATGGTCACATGATTAGCCCAACCAATGACAGGTCACATAAGTTTATTTGTCACATGACTAGCTGAAGAAATACTTGGCTACAAAATATGTGTAAATAATTCAACTCTGGCAACTTTATTTCCTTATCAGATCTGTCTCACTTACTAGGGTTGCTACACACAAGGAATTCTTTTGTGACAAAAGGTACTAAAGATCAAAACACTATATATGACTGAAGATTATCAAAATTAACTATTTTGAGTTAACCTGTCTAAATATAAAAACAAAAATTCAAATTATTTGAAAAGCCATAAACAAACATTATTAATATTTATGTCTATTATAATAAATTTAGGTATACTAGAGTTGGATCTAAGTAACTGTGTTCAGGTGTCATATTTTGATAACTAACAGTCATATTTAAACTAAGTACATTGATAATTAACAGTCATGATTTAATTAAGTACATTTATAATTAATAGTCCAGTTTTAATTTTAAGTACATTTACAATTAACAGTCATGTTTTAATTAAGTAGATTTATATTTAACAGTTTGTTACGGTTTCTCAAGTTGTAATTTCTATGCATGTTTCATTCACCGCATGAGATGGTATATTCTTTCATTACAATCTGTTTTCAGTAAATCAGGCTTTTTTTAATTAATTTTTTTATTTAGGTTGTATGCATTACAAACTTTAATTTGTAAACAACTAAAAATAAATGACCTAGATTCAAAAGATGACCTATGTGACTCAAAAGATGACCTACGTGATGACTGATTCTTCAACAGAGGAGGCGGAGGAGGGAAACCTCCCTCTCTGCCTCACCTGGACGTCATTAAGAGGAACAAGATGAGAATGAACTCTGACCTTGTTTTCTGAGGGCGGAGTCCAATCCCCCTGAAATCCTCTGTTATCAGCTCCAAACTTGTGGTGCTTAATGTACAGATGCTGAGTAGGCTCCCTTGTGCTGTGGTGAGTTGCGTCCCTTGAGTTGTGAAAGCTCGGGCAGCCTGGGTAAGACAGGCCGGACAACAACAGGCTGCCGTTTTGTTTCTGGTCGTAAGAGTTCATGTCCTGACTGACTGACTCGTCCTGGCTGGTGGCGCTGCTGTCTGTCTGCTCCTGCTTCAAGAGTTCTTGCTCCTGGTCCTTTTCCTTCTGCTTGGCAACCCCAATCTCATTTGGCCAAATTGACATTTGGAGAGTTCGAACTAATAATCTGCAAAAAAATTTATTTATTTATTGCCATACAAAATAAAACTTATTTTATTAATAATAGAAATATTTTTAGGTTTATTGTTGTGTACAGCTAAACAATGTTTGTCTTACGAATGTGAAAATTCAGGTTATAATTTAGGATTGATGAAAGTAAATAGAAATGTCTTAAATGTTAAAAATTACTTTCAAGTTCTCTACGTTTGCATTGTAGATTTTTTAAATAAAAAAATTTGGAAATTTATTTAAGCTTTTTTAAAATGATTGTTTTTACAGCCTCCATGAGCGTGACAACCCTTTTTTATTAATGTTAACAATAATGATGGAAGGATTTTCGTCAACTCATTTCTACAAAATAAATTTTATTTTTAATTGGTTTTAGAAATAATTTTAAGCTTACACAAATAAGGAAGAACTTATACAATCTTACTTCAACTTTTAAAACTTTTCGGCTGATTTATTAACAATTCTTTTGAGTTGTTTTTTTTAATGTAGAATTCTATTAATTTATTTCTTAACTGTTGATTTTTTTTTTAATATTTAAGCTTAATCATATAAGAAGAATATTTAAATCTTATGTTTCCTGCATGAAATTACCTTCCTTTCTGCTAAGAAAATAAAAACTCAAACCTGGGTAACAATGAAACAAAACATGTGAGCACAACAATCAGGGAATGGGAGGCAGTGGCTATGGTGTTCTCCATCACCCAGTAGGGGTTGGACGGGTGGTCAAATGTGAAGAAAACAGCATTGGAGATGAGGAGGAAACCCCAGAACAGGACGAAGCTCAGGACTATAGAACCCCACTGGATCCACACCTGCAATTCATAAACCAGAGTATAGCCAAGGGGGGTAATCATTACCAGTAGGGGTTATGGTTATTGATTTTAAAATATATCAAGCAGCAAAGATTATTATTTTTAAAAATTTTAATAAATGTTTGATGAATCATTAAAATCATTACTATATTTAATTAATAAAAAGATTTGTTGCATCTGGACTGTAGTTTAAATTTACTTCATAACTTTTTATTAAATTTCCTAATTCTATTTATGATTATTTATAAAAATGAAAAGGGAAATAATTCTACTTACCCAACTATTAGTTTCTATACCCATGTGCAACAATATAGACAAGATCATGCAGACGTCAATAGTTGTCCCAAATTCCCAGATATCTATACTTTGATTCATGTATGCCTAGTGAGAATAAACTTATAATTAAATTTAAACCATTTGTCTATAAGCACAACAGGAACAGTAACTAGTAATGCAGCAAATATTTAAAACTTACCTCCCCTGAAACACCAGAAACACCTGTGACTGTAGGCCTATTCACTCAATGTATTTTCTCATTAAACTTTCATTTAAAGGTATTTTAAAAGATTACACCAAATTGTTTTAATCTTGCTGTCTTTTTTTTTCAAGATTTAATAAAAATATGGTTCAATGATGAAAGCAACAGACTCACCAAATGAGGAATGAAGTAAATCATTATGCTTTGGTACACACTGTCTATAGTAACAATCAAAAACGTCCACTGTGTGTACATCTGGCAACAATGGGAGAATAATATTCATTTTTTTACCCCTGATCATTTTCATTCAAAATTGTAATTATTTGTTTATTTACAACTAGACACATTTTACATACTTATAAAACTTTCCTTAACAAGATATATTCATGAGAGCACTCGATATTCAAAATTATTTCAGGTAAATATTGATAAATGACCACTCAGGTCTAGTATTATTCACCTTTTTTTAACAACTCAAAGCAAAAATTTTAAATAATAAATTTAAATTACTTTGAGTAATTAACCTTAAATAGAACACTAAAATCTTGCTTCACTTTAACATTGATGATATTTTTTTTAATTAAAAAAACATAGTATTCAATACAATTTAAACAACAACTTTAGTAAATATTGACTAAAGAACATGCAAACCATGTATTACTTCCCTTTATTTAAGACAGTCTTCACTTACCTTCCCTTTCTGTCCAGGTTTATACAAGGCTGGTTCAGACAGCAGGGTTTCAGCGGCCAGATCTTTGTCAAATATCCCGTTGGCCAGGGGCGGGGCGGCCGTGAAGATGACGTGCTGCATGGTCAGGTAGAGGCTGTCAATCATCAGAGAGCCAGAGAAACCACTGAACAGTTGGAACCAGAACAGTGCCAGCACAGATAGCTGGAACAAGATAATCCTCAGATTAGCTGGGATAATTGGATTATCTCTTCAGATGAACAGGGACAATCAGAGAATCTCTAAAGATTAAATGGGACAATCAGAAAATCTCTTTAGATGAACTGGGAAAATCAGATAATCTCTAAATATTAACTGAAGCAATCAAACAATCTCTTTGGATTAACTAGAACAATCAGATTTTTTGAATAACAGTGAATTAGATAATCTCTTTAGAATAACTGAGTAAATTAGATAATCTCTTTAGATTTAATGAAAAATCAGATAATCTCTTTAGATTAACTGGAAAATCAAATAATCTCTTTGAATTAATCATATAATCTCTTCAGAGTAATTGAAATTATTCAGATTAATTACGACAATTAGATAATCTCTTCAGATTAACTAAAACAATCAGATAATTTCCCCTCAGTGGTTTATGTCTTAGTGGGATAGCAGGCTAACTACTATAGCAACTAATTAAAAAACCCATCAATTTTGCCGGACAGATGTTCAACTATTTAACACTTTCAACTATCCTATGCTTCTCAACCTCCACATAATTTCTAGAGAAAATGAAGTTGTTTTGCACACAGAGAAGCATTTAGTGATTTAGTAAAATGATGTTACATAGGGTAGAAAAAACAGACTCTTATTTTTATATATTATATAATGGATCTCTGACTAGTATATTACCAGGCACTTAAACTTTTAATTGCCAATCACATGTTCATCCAAGCTGGGTGAACTAAGAGCATCCAACATTATAAACCCTATTATTTTGACTCAAGCAAAAACAATGAACCTTAGACTTTTAAATTAGCTTCATTACTTTAATTCTGGTCAACCATTGTTTAATCTATAATCTTTAAATATATACATACATATATATATATATATATATATATATATATATATATATATATATATATATATATATATATATATATATATATATATATATATATATATATATATAATTCCATATTATTACTAATAAATATTTAACAGATTTGTTTCCATGTGCTGCACATACCAGACTTTTGTAGAACATGATGGCAGCAAACTTGGCCAGGCGCTCAAGGTTCCAGTGGCCGTGGACCAGTAGCAGACGCTCCAGGAATTTAAATTTAGAGATGGCAAAGTCCGAGGACATGACGGCCTGCATGCCCTCCTGACCAGAGATGCCAACACCGATGTCAGCAACTTGGATCATGCTGACGTCATTAGCACCGTCACCTTTAAAAAAAAAATTTAATTTCTTTTCACTGTAATACAAAATCTTTAAAAATATATCTAAATGATCATAAATAAGACCTAAATTTTTTAGTCAATAAATAAACAAAAAATTACATTTTTTTTCTTTTTGTTAATTACTACAAAGCACTAAGGTAAAATATTTGACAGGCTAATTTTTTAAAAGCTGATTATATCAGCTTTGACATACCAATAGCCAGGGTCATCTTTTTAAGGTTGTCTCTGACAAGCTTGACAACTGTTGCCTAGAAGAAAACAAATCAAAATCCGGTCAGAGGAAAGCATATATGCAGTGTAGTGCTTGAAAAAATTACACAAATCAGTGAAAGCAAAATTATAAACTGAGTGTAGAAGTGCTTTGTTGTTTTTTGCTAGGGTAAAAAGTAAAGTTTCCCTTACAAAGATGACGGTCTATGGGGTAAGTGAAGTAGAGTTCACTTGTTGCTGTGACCTCGGCATATGAAGAGATAGTGTGGTCAGCACTATGCCCAGCCGCCTTTACTCTCCCTTAGGTGAGTTAGGTACCCATCAGAGTTGGGTGGACTCAGGGTACTCAGTATTTTTTTTAAATATAACATTTACAATATAATTTGTTTTATAAAAGAAATATTTAAGACGTGTTTAAAAGTTTAGCAATACTGATATCATAGTTGATGGCAGTCTAAAACTGAATGTTTACCTTCTGGATGGGCGTGGCTCTGCAGCAAACAACAGACTGACAGTTCATGCAAATCTTCAAGAAACGTTTCTCTAACTCCGGGCTTGTCGCGTGATTTAGAGTCGGACCATCGATGACTAGGGCGTAATTACTCTCCTTCTCGTTAGCCACGGAGTGGAGGGAAATAAACGAGCGGGACAAAATGTTGCTCTCAGAGGTGGAGAGGCTGTGGGCGTCCGTGGGCAGCAGCTCACTCCTGAGGTCAGCCAGAGCACTGTCAAGCCTGGCTTTGGTTTCCTCCATGGAGTCAGCGTTGAGGGTGATGACGTTCTGGTCTCGTGAGAAGAGGTGGCAGGCGTACGCAATCTGTATGGCTGTTTCCTGCGCGTGGTTAGATAACAGATATTAGGTTAGGGTTTACATAGAATATAATGGGATTGGGTTTAGATAACAGTAACATATACTGGGTTAGGATTAAGATAAAAGATAACACGGATTAGCATTTAGGTCACAGAAATTGGTTTAGGATTTAGATAACAGATAATATGTTAGATGTTAGGCTAATGCATAGATATCAGAAATTATGTTAGGTTATGGTACATATGTTACTGGCAATGTATGAAAATCCGGCTTTCTATATTTCATACTCTGTCGTCCCATTTCAGACATTGTGTACATTCTATAGAATGCCAGTTTTTAGACTTCGCCGGTAAGATATATAATAGAAATCAAGTAAGGGTTTAGATAACAGATAGTGGGTTAGGTTAGGGTTTGAATAACAGTGGGTTAGGTTAGGGTTTGGATAACAGTGGGTTAGGTTAGGGTTTGGATAACAGTGGGTTAGGTTAGGGTTTGGATAACAGATAGTGGGTTAGGTTAGGGTTTGGATAACAGATATTGGGTTAGGTTAGGGTTTGGATAACAGATAGTGGGTTAAGTTAGGGTTTGGATAACAGATAGTGGGTTAGGTTAGGGTTTGGATAACAGATAGTGGGGTTAGGTTAGGGTTTGAATAACAGTGGGTTAAGTTAGGGTTTGGATAACATATAGTGGGGTTAGGTTAGGGTTTGAATAACAGTGGGTTAAGTTAGGGTTTGGATAACATATAGTGGGGTTAGGTTAGGGTTTGAATAACAGTGGGTTAGGTTAGGGTTTGGATAACAGATAGTGGGTTAAGTTAGGGTTTGGATAACAGATAGTGGGGTTAGGTTAGGGTTTGAATAACAGTGGGTTAAGTTAGGGTTTGGATAACAGATACTGGATTGTTAGGGTTTGGATAAGATAGTGGGTTAGGTTAGGGTTTAGACAACAGTGAGATAGTGGGTTAGATCAGGGTAAAGCTATCAAATACTAAGTTAGGGTTTAGGTAACAGATACTGCATTAGCTTAGAGATTAGAAAACATTGACTTAGGGTTTAGATAACTGTCCCCAGTAAACAACCAACCCCATGACCTGACTCACCTGTTTGTCACCTGTAAGGACCCAGACTTTCATGCCAGCCTTGCGCAGGTTTGAGATGGTAGATGGAACACCTTCCTGGAGCTTGTCCTCTATACCTGTGCCACCTGAGATATTCAAGTAAACCTTTTTTACAGACTTCTCTCACTTCATAAAATTACACAAGTTATATATAGAGGCTAAAAGACACAAGACACTTAAGGGTGAAAATTCAAGGGTCTAATAACTTTAAGTGCAGGCACATAAGAGTTAAATATCAAGGGTCTAATAAATTTAAGTGCAGACTTTGGAGGGTTAAACTTCTAGGGTTATTAACTTTAAGGGCAGACAACAAAGGGTTAAATTTTAAAGGGCTGACAACATTGATGGCTGAAAATTCCCGAGGCAGAAAATTTCAGGGGAGTTGACAAAACTGTTGTAAAAGATCACACACCCCCGTCCTCCCACCCCAAAAAAACCTCCTCCAGTGCAACTGACCTAACAGGTCCAGATCCCTCTCAATGAGGTTACAAGACTCCCGTATCAACTCGTCCCTGTTGTTCATGTCAATCTCTGCCTTCTTGTGCTTGATGGCCCACTCCCCGTACTCTTGCTCACTCAGGACCTGACCACCAGATTTATCAGGCACATTTTAAATCTCAGTATTTGAGGTCAATTGTTAGTTAAACTATATGTTTATGAATTATTAATTACATAATCACTTTAATTATTATTATTAATTTTTTAATTTTTTATTCGTTTTATATTTGTATAGTGGGACGGTGTGGTTGAACAGTAGACTGTTTGACTGCTAACCCAAAAGGCTCAAGTTTTGATGCCAAGCTGGAGTCCGTAAAACGTCTCCGAGTCCACCCAGCTCTGATGAGTACCTAACTCACATTAGGGAAAGTAAAGGCGGCTGGGCATAGTGCAGATCACACTATCCCTTATTATGCAGGGATTAATAAAACAAATGAACACTACTTCACCAGCCTCATGAACCGCAAGGTTTGAAAGAGTACTTTTATATTTTTATATGAATGTTTGTACATTACTGTAACTAGAATTAGAATAATAATTGATCATTTCATTTATTTTTTAGCAGATTATTTATATATTAATTTTACTTCTTACTTCACTATTTATTACTTAGTAGATAATAATTTTCTTATTAGATTATAACTTAATATTTTAACCAATCAACTAAGATCTGCCTAACTAAAATGTGAATATATAGGCCTACTGCAAGACTGACCTTCTTAGCCATACATAATGTCCGCAGACCTCTCAATGCATAGCCCTCAAGGTATTTATGTGTGGCCTCTAACAGTCTTTTGCATTCTTCATCCTCTGTGGAGGCAAGTGATTTAATTTTAATCAATCTAAATTGATAATTAAGCCACATTGGAACGAAAGCTGTTTCTGCATCTTTACTTGCATCTACAGATATTTCTCATTAAATGGCATCATGCAATGGAATAAAAATGTGATATTTATTTATATATTCACAAAACACTAGATAAAATCTTAAATCTAAGACAAACAATTGTATTATCTACACATGAAAATATTACCACCTACACCCTTGATAGTCCCATAAACAAGTATATTAATCAAACTAAGACAACATTTTCCCTGAAATCTTTCCTTGAAATTTTTTTTCTTTCTTTCTGTACTATTTAAACTTACCTTGATATTTTCTATGTAACACATTGAAGATGCAGGAGTCGGCGCCTTTCACGTACAAGACAATCTCTCGAGATATGGGGTGCCTGACAATCACAGACATACGCTTGCGTGTGGCATCAAAGTGAAGTGTGTTTAAGACTTCAAACTCCGCTTCTTCGTTTTCACCTACACAAACAAAATCATCAAACAAATTAAAAAAAAAATTAATTCTAGAATTTTTTTTATTAATGAGTTCCTGTATTTAATTTTTTCAATTAATAAGAATCTACATCTAAGTTTTTTAAAGATGCTACATACAAGCTTCTGTTTATGAAGAACAAAGAAAAAAAAATAATCATAAAAAGAAAAAAAATAATCATAAAAAGAAAAAAAATAATCATGAAAAGAAAAAAATAATTAAAAAAAAAGAAAAAATAATCATAAAAAGAAAAAATAATCATAAAAAGAAAAAAAGAATCATAAAAAGAAAAAAAATAATCATAAAATTTGGGGTTTTAGCTCACCCGTAAATAAAACCTTGACCTTCCCAGGTCCCCGTTTGACCAGCTTACAGCCGTACGTGTTGGCAGCTTTGACCAATGCCAGCTCATCTGGGCTCTCTGCCTCGTAGTGATTTTTCTGAGAGCCATCAGACATAAAGGACGACCCAGTGACACTCCCTTCTGATGCCAGATCTCCATTCTCAGAAGCTGGCCAAAACAAAACAAAAATCTAATTTATTTTTGTCTAATGCTAAAGTTCTGATTTGTGTTCATATGAAATAATAAATTTTTACAATATTTTTTTTTACTCAAAAAAAAATGTACTCTTAGTCAAATTTTAATAGTGTGTCGAGTGAGTCAGTAATTTGGCCTGGCAGGGAGTAGAGGTCCTGGCCAAACTTACCAGAAAGAGACAAGGTAGACCTGGAGTGATGGGAGAGAGGTGTGCCAGGAGGGCCTCTATGGTTTGGTTTGTCTGGAACTTTGGCAGGTGGGAGCTGGTCCCTCGGATGTTCACTCTCTGGAATATATCCACTGTCATCCATCTGGATAAAAAACATTGTGTTACACGTTAAAACAAGTAGGCTATAAAAACACAATTACTTTAGCAAGACACTTTCTAAGTTTCCTGTTTCTTGGTTTTTTTTTAGTTATCAACAAATGTTTTTTTAAATAATAGAAATGGATGAAAAAAAAATGTAAAAATAATTAGAGGGGACTTTGGACACTGGTCATCTACTCACAGAATCAGAAAGGACATATAAAATTAGTCATCTACTCACAGAATCAGAAAGGACATATAAAATTAGTCATCTATTCACAGAATTAGAAAGGACACGAAACTAGTCATCTACTCACAGAATCAGAGTGGACGTAGGACACAACGACAGTGTTGCAGACAGCCATCAGCAGAAAGAACTCCTGGACCTGCTTGACGTGGGGTGGGATGCTCAGGTCGATGCTGTTTAAACTCCGCAGACACATGTTGGAGACCTCCCTCTGTAGGGCCGGGTCCAAGTGCAGGTTTTCAAAGATCTGAAACAAAAATTCTATTATAAAAAACTATGACGGGACGGCGTGGCCTAGTGGTAGAGAGCTAGACTGCTAAACTGTGAGTCTCGAGTTCAAATCTGGGTTCAAGTGCAGGTTTTCAAAGATCTGAAACAAAAATTTTCTATCATAAAAAACTAAGATGGGACAGTGTGGCCTAGTGGTTGAGAGATTGTTAACCTGTAAGTCTTGAGTTTAAATCTGAGTTCAAGTCAGTAGAATGTGCCTGTGTCAACCCAACTCTGATAGGTACCTAACTCACATTAGGGAAAACAAAGGCGGCTGGGCATAGTGCTGACCATGTTATCAATTCATATGCCGAGGTCATTGAAACAGATGAACTCTACTTCATATGCCCCATGTGTCTTGGGCATGAACAAGAGAAGATGAGGATGAAAAAAACGATGACATTGGTAACGCTGAAAGGGATGGTGTGGTCGGTCAGGAGCAAGTATGGCTGCTAACTCCAGAGTTCGGATCCCTGGCAGATGAGACTTGTTAGATAGAGACAGCAACCCATCTAGGATACAAAAATCTAAAGTCAAACAACTGTTGCCCTTGCAGATTGTTCTTGGGTGGACAAAGACTATGGGAGAAAACCCAGCTAAAAAAGCAGGCTGAAGTCTGAGTCAACGGTCTATTTTAAAACAGAATGATGTAATGGTTTTTTGCTGTAATAAAATTGTGCACTCTTTCAATTATAATTTTTCTTGATTTGATTAGCTAATATATTCAAAACCTGGTTAGACACAGGTTGTTTGGGGGCAAGGGGGGCAAAAAAAAAATGGGGTGAAAACAGAGGAGGTAACTCATGTAATCAAGGACTGCAACCATATACTGGAGCTGAACAGCACATTGATCACTTAGTATTTAACTAAATACTGAAGCCTTTAAAACTGTCAAGAGACTTACAGAGCTAGTTCTACTAAGTCCAGCAAATGATATGCGGCTGTCAAAATCACTCTGGCTGTCTATCTCATCGTCCCCTGTAAACAAATACATTCAATTGGTTTGATATGGTAATTTTTTTAGTGTTGTTTTCCCACAAATTACTACATCTACATCAAGCTCCTTTTTCTTGTCTATACATTTCTTAGATGCAACAGTAAATTTAATTAAGACTAATTTTAAACCTGCTAAAATTGCATGATTTATTGATAGACAATCTGTTAATCATTAGCAAGAGTTTTTTAAAGCAAAATTAAACCACTAATTGCTATAGATACATTTCTCAGATGCAACAGTAAATTTTATTAAGACTCAATTTAAAACCTGCTAAAACTGCATGATGTTATTGAAAGACAACTTGTTAATCATTAGGTAGACTTTTTTTAAAGATTAAACAACTAATTACTATAGATAAATAAACCAAAGTACAACTCGAGTCTTACTAGGCAGATGGTTGTAGTTGACCCCGCCCACTGTGCAGGATTTGAACTCCATCCTGTTCTCTGTCAGCGTGCCAGTTTTGTCGGAGAAAATGTATTCAATCTGCCCCAGGTCCTCCGTGATGTTCAGGGCCCGGCACTCCATGGGTTTGTCCCTCTCCTGGTCGTACATCTCTATGTCTTGCATGATGAAGTAGATCTGGCCAAGCTTGACCAGCTCCAGAGACACGTACAGCGGCAGTGGGATCACAGACTGGAAAGAGAAGGGGAGGTTAGCACTGGGGTCATGGGGTGAAATAAGGGGAGATAAGAACTGGTGTCATGGGGTAAAATAAAGGAATTAGTTAGCACTGGGATCACAGACTGAAAGGATCATGGGCAGCTAGCACTAGGATCACAGGAAGAAAAGACATGGGAAGGTTACCATTGTGATCAGGGAGTGAAATAAGGGGAGGCTAGCACTGGGATCACAGACTGAAAGGATCATGGGCAGCTAGCACTGGGATCACAGGAAGAAAAGACATGGGAAGGTTACCATTACCATTGTGATCAGGGAGTGAAATAAGGGGAGGCTAACACTGGGATCACAGACTGAAAGGATCATGGGCAGCTAGCACTGGGATCACAGGAAGAAAAGACATGGGAAGGTTACCATTGTGATCAGGGAGTGAAATAAGGGGAGGCTAACACTGGGATCACAGACTGAAAGGACAAGGATGATGGCAGTTAGGTAACCCTGGAAAAAATGTCTGTGCGCCCTTAGGAGCGGTGATGTAATAGTCCTATTAATGTTTTACTAAAAGAATTTATTGGGTATATCTCCATTTTATCATTTCCAGTTTTTCAAACCGGTGTAAAATTCAGTGCACAATATAAGTTTCAATCTGGGATTGGGGGCCCCTTTGAAAATTTCCCTGGCCTCTTGGACACAACTAGCCCATCCCTGGGCTTACTATACACCTACTGCTGCAATTTAAAAATCCAAACTTTTGAAGTGACAGATGACCACTATAAATGTCCACCTGGAATATAACATGAAACAAACACTGACCTGGAAGATGATGATGTAGGTCCAGAAGACAATAAACCCCTGGTATAGTGGACTGTACTGGTCAAGGTCACCAAAAGAAATGAAGGGCACCAGGTTGGGGTTGTTGTAGTCTGCCAGCCAGATCCCACTCCCTGTAGACAAAATTATTGTGGGTATAGGAAACATACCATAAAGCAGCTATTGTATACAGTTAAATTGTGTTTTAATAGGAACATGAAGAAAATTACATTTATAGCATTTAAAAAATTATAACACAAAATGTAATACTTAAGGAAAATATTTTTAAAAATATGTAGTGCTTTTCTTGAACTATATTTTTTCTTACTATCAACAGATTTTGTTGTTTTTATAACATAATTTGTTTGAAAAAGGTACACTGAACAGCTAAAATCAAATGAAGTAAAATGGGAATGATTTTTTCATCTTTTTTTGAAAGTTTGAGAATAAACTACTTATTTTTAAAGCAAGATAAAAATTATTTTTAACACTTCAAAACTACTGATACTCATAAAACAGCCTCCTTCAGACTATAATAGAAGTTGTTGGTCAAAGGAGTTTTAGGCACATCAAAAAGTGATACCATCATTTACACCAAATGTTTAATTGAAAAAATAGTTTAAAATTTAAAGATAGACAAATGCAGAGAGAAACCAAACACATAAGGGTCAAGGGCACTAAAATAATACTGAGACAAAACAAAGAAACAGTAAGACACACCATACTACACATCAAATAATACATACAACACACCATATTACACATCACAAATAACAAATATATAGATTGAAAAATTAACAGTAAACTTACCAATGGCACAGAAGAAACAAAGGAACAAGAGCAGTATGACACACCAAATCACATCCCGATTGATCTTGGCCTCCAGCTGACTGATCTTGTGTCTTGGCCCTTTGTTGTTCATCATGGCCTTGGTCTCTGCCCCTGAACACACACACATTTTATTTCTTTTTTTTTTACCTGAACACACATACACATTTTATTTCTTTTTTTTTTTAACTTTTTATTCAGTTCTTTTTTTTTTCACTTATTATTTAGTTTTTTTTTTCACTTATTCAGTTCTTTTTTTTTTTTACTTATTATTCAGTTCATTTTTTTTTCATTTCTTATTTACAAAATACTATAATGAATTTGAATTATTTTAGTTATTTTACTATAAATTAAATGGGATGGCGTGGTGGGATAATAAAGCACATGAATGCTAAACATTAAGTCTTGCGTTTGGATCTTGGGCTTGAGTCCAAAAGACATCTCTGAGCCCACCCAGCTCTGATCAGTACCCGAATCAAGTTAGAGAAAGTAAAAGCAGCTGGGCATAGTGCTGACCACACTATCCCTTTATATGCTGAGGTCACAAAAAAGGTGAAATCTACTTCATCTGCCCCATGGTCCACCAGGTTCAAAAGGGTTTCTTTACTTTACTAAAAGCTGTAAATATTTTTGTTCTTACTAATTATACATAGAAAAAAATGTTTGTGGGGGTGGTAGAAAAAAAGAGATTATCTTTGTAAACATAAACCTACCATATTTTTTTGTTTCAAGTTTTTTGGCCAGGTAAGATTAGAAAGCTTGCCATAAAACTAATCAATGAAACCAGTGTGTGCGGGTGGGGGGGGGGGAGATGTCCCCACCAATAAATCCTGCCAAAGATCAGGTAAATCAGAACAATAAACAATCAGTGAGGCTAATCCCAGTAGGATCAGTTTACCTGCATAGACCACCATGCCCTCAATGTAATCTGTGTTTCTGATAACACAGCCACGCTGCAGCAGGTTGCTGTTACATAGGGACACTGTCTCATTCTCCATTTTACTGAAGTCATGAAATACAACATTTTTAATAACTGAAGTCATAAAATACAATATTTTTAATAACTGAAGTCATAAAATACAACATTTTTAATAACTGAAGTCATAAAATACAATATTTTTAATAACTGAAGTCATTAAATACAATTTTTTAAATATTTTACTGAAGTCTTAAAATACAACATTTTTTATATTTTCCTCAAGTCAAGAAATACAACATAGTTGATATTTTACTCAAGTCATGAAATACAACATAGTTGATATTTTACTCAAGTCATGAAATACAACATAGTTGATATTTTACTGAAGTCATGAAATACAACATTTTTAATATTTTACTGAAGTCATAAAATATAACATTGTTTTTTTACTGAAGTAAGGTCATAAGGTATTAAATTAGAAACATGAAGTTGATATTTTACTGAAGTCATGAAATATAACATTGATATATTTTACTGAAGTCATGAAATATAACATTGCTATTTTACTGAATTAAGCTCATAAGATTTTACATTAGAAATATGAAGTTGATATTATACTGAAGTCATGAAATATAACATTGATATTTTACTAAAGTAAGGTCATGAGACATTATATTAAAACATGAAGTTGAAATTTTACTGAAGTCATGAAATATAACATTGTTATTTTACTGAAGTGGGGTCATGAGATTTAAAATTAGAAACATGAAGTTGATATTTTACTGAAGTAAGTATAACATTAAAACAGGAAGTTACTGTCAGAGAATTTTAGTAGTTTTATGATGAATAAGAAAAGTCTGTAAACATTAAGGGATCCGTTTTCAGTGAGTGGTTGTATTGTATTTTTCATTAATAAAACAAGTGTTTTAACACTGTTCTCTGCCTTAATAAAACAAGCTGAAATAGCAGAAAACCTGATTTTTGAAGCCAAAACATGCTGACAGAAAACCTGATAAAATATACTTACAGAAAACCACGGAAGGAATAAATCTCTGAGTTGGGTTGGTCAATCTCAACTGTATACGGAAACATGGTGGGGACAAAGTCTCTCGTCTAGAACAGTAATGATAAAAGTTAAAGCATTCAAGTATTGTATTGGCCACACAATTTTTTTATATGTGATGGTCACTCAAAGGATGAACTCTATTTACCTCATGAATTTTCAGGCCTAAAAGGGTTTCTTAACTTACTTACAAATATATATTTTTAAATAACTTAAAATTAATCATAATTATCAGATACTGGTAGATAGATTACATTTTAAGAATTATATTTTGTTTTAATTTTCAATTTTCCTATATTTTCTAACTAAAATTACCTCAGACACAGTGGCGAAACCTTCCACAATTTGCCGTTGTTTTAGGTTGGTCTCACCATCAATGTTGCTGGTCTCTATGTGACAGATCCCCTGGACATCACTGGACCGTATAAATAAGATGTCCGCTGGTATGATTTCATTACATGACAGATGAACAAAATCCCCTGGGTAAACATTTGACCAGTTGCACCTCACATAACGTTGCTCTGACCTGTAAAAAAGAGCCAGGAAAATATTCTGTTTACAACTTCAACTTCAAACAAGATGATAAAATGGCCATATTGTACACATTATTCTAAGAACATGAATAGCTTTTATAAGAAATTCATCAGCCAATAAAGAAGCACTATCAACAAGTTGTAGATATTTATGAACTATTATCAGTTATTTCATATGTGAATATAGGACATAAAGTACTAATGAATGTAGTAAGTTTTAAATATCTTTTACTTTCCAATTTTATATTTTATCATTTAAAAAGCTACAAATAAGTTCAGCATTTAGGCCTATGGAAAAATATTAACTTTTTATGCTTGACGGAATTACCAGCTTACTGTACATAGATCTAGTGTACATTAATGTTTGTTAAGTCATCAACAACATTATGTTAAATGTTTAACAAGTAAAGAAGACATTTCTCAACACTTACAGCAATCTAATCTGATAACCAAAATTTGGAATTTGATGAAAACAAAAACAAAAATCAGCAATTACATCTAACTTTATCTTATTTATTTTATTTTTTTTGCTCAACATAATGAATACATTTAAAAGCTTGCTATGTGAATTTCAAGCTTTAAACGTAGTTGGTTATTTTGTTAGTACTATTAAGCTTAGCCATAGCACAACTAAGAGATATGATTTGGTGAGGTACAGGTAACACAACAGTACCTATGACATATAGGGTACTTACACTGAAAAGACACGACATGTGTGGCTGTTGATTTGTTTGTCTGACCGGTAGCGCCTAAAATCTTCAAAGGCATCTTTAGCTGCAGTCACTGCTAAGACAAACAAAACTGGTAGAGCAGCGACTTCCTTTGCAAAAGCATTGACTTCAGGTACCCAGTTAAGCGCAACAACAAAAATAAAATATATGTTGGCGAAGCGATGAAACTGCTCAAACAAGTTTTTCGGCAGGAAGGTAATTATTGTGTAGCGAGTGGTCTTGATGGCATTATCTTTAAATCCATAATTAGGATGTGCCTTGTGCTTGATTTTGATGTTTGGATCCACTGTATGATTCGGAACTACTCTCCGAAAATTTGGCCCCACACCTCTATTAGGCAGAATAAAATTAAGTATGCGACGTGCAATTCCCATCTTGGTGACAGAATGAGCACTTGATTTCGTGCTAAGAATTTGAAGACTAGTTTTAATGTTTTGTCTTTAACAACAGAGAGTAACAATATTAATACTATTATGATAGCCTGTTGTGAATAATAAAATATAGACCTGTCCTATGATGAGTATTATACTTTTAATTTTTGGCTAACAATGACTTTTCCAGTTCTGTAGACTGTTGACTCTCTTATATTTTTAAATTAAATTAATATGGCCTAATCCTAATTGTCTTCGTAACACAATATTAATATTTCAATGACTGCTGATTTGGGACTAGATCTATATTTAAAATTTAAATTATTAGTACTAGAATAGAATAATTAATTTGACACTCAGTTTATAAATATTTCCGCACTCGCTAACTGAACACGACACAGCCATTCGTGAAACACTTCAGAAATACAGTTCAGTTGAGTTGAAGTGGGTTAAGTTTCATCACATTCAAAGTGAAACTGTATCCTAATTAGAACGATTTCGAACGTCTTCTTCCATTTCCACAAAATATCCTATATCAAAATTATAAAACAACGTCATATTTAAATGATGTTAAACCACAAGCCTCAAATCCATTGTTTTTTTGGCAACGAAGTGTGTGTTGAGTATGTGATTGTGTTGCTGCTGTCGTAACCTAAACAAGCTGTGCCACGAGAATTCATTGGTTGAACTGTTACTAAATAACCAATCAATGAGGATAACACTTCCATTTAGACAAGCAACAATATGGCAGCAGAGAAGTGGGAGTCGGCTATCGGTTTGCTTCCTAAAGCTGGAATTCACGAATTTACTAATGTAAAGAATAATTTATATATTTTATTAATTGGTTTATGGAATTTTGTGAAATTAGATTTGATGAAAAAATATAGCATAGTTTCATAAAGAAGTCTAGATCTAGTTCCATAGAGTGTAGTTAGTGTGTAATTTATAATAATAGGCATTCCATTAAAAAAATTAAAATTGGCTAATTAAATGTATGAGCATTGCAAAAATATTGTGCTTGATGTAACTAGAATAACACTGAAAAAATTTTCTTTCTAGCTTCAGTAGTTTTTTTTTAATGAATTTTTTACGTAATGGGTGAATGTCCACTATATTTCTTTGTAAGTCATGAAAATCACTGTCCCCTAACTTTGAAATAGCACTGCTCAGTTATTTTTAAAGATACAATGTTAAAACTTTGCAGGATCTTACTTCAGCATGTTAGAATAACATATATTAATTGAAATCATTAAGTCATTCACTGGGAGCAGAATAATTAGCATTCCTTTAAGGGATACATTACGGCTATTATGGGCCCTAATTTCTAAGTTGCACTGCTCAGTTGTTTTTAAAACTACAATGTTTAAACTTTGCAGGATCTTACTTCAGCATGTTTGAATTACTTATATTAATTGAAATCATTAAGTCATTCACTGGGAGCAGAATAATTAGCATTCCTTTAAGGGATACATTACGGCTATTATGGGCCCTAATTTCTAAGTTGCACTGCTCAGTTGTTTTTAAAACTACAATGTTTAAACTTTGCAGGATCTTACTTCAGCATGTTTGAATTACTTATATTAATTGAAATCATTAAGTCATTCACTGGGAGCAGAATAATTAGCATTCCTTTAAGGGATACATTACGGCTATTATGGGCCCTGCTCAGTTGTTTTTCAAGGTACAATGTTAAAACTCTGCATGATCTTACTTCAGCATGTTTGAATTACATTTATTAATTTAATTATTAATAGACTTGCCAGTAGCAGAACAAATTGAATAAAAAGGTAGTAGGCACTAATTTTTTTTTTAATAAATTAAACCGAACAATTTATCTTAGGCACACTGGCAAGCCAGGAGTTTTATTTACTGAATGGTTGTCTTTAAAAACTATTATTATTAGCAACACAACAAGTAGAATAACTTTAATAACATTTCAGGAAGCCTACACCAAATTAATAACATTGCAAGTAAAAAAACAACTCATCTCTGACTATTATCTTATTAGGATAAATGTTTTAAATTAAATGATTCTCAATAAATAATTAAATTTACACAATTAAACAAAAAGCAAAGTTAATATATACATCAAAACAATAAACTTTTAAGGTAGACATAGCTTACATCAATACAATAACAGGTGAGACTTATACCAAGTTAAGCTTTGTACAACATGGACTACTACTGTCATCCTAGCTACTAAACACAAGGTCACCTGTCAGTAAATCAGTGACTAGAGATGTCATTGTCATGTCATAGTCAACACTGTCAGTTTCCAATTCATCAGGTCCCCAGTAAGTAATTGTACATTTCATTGTCTTAGTCTTCTGTTGCTTAAAATTTACCACTCTGCCAGAATACATTTTATCAACTCCTTCCTCTGTCCATAAATGCTTAAGTAGATGTCCTGTATAGGTTTCAGTCAGTTCAGACATAGGATTTTCTGAAGTAATATACATTGCAATGAGGCCCATAACTTCAGATGACGCAGATGAAAACACACTAGCATTCAGATCTTTAGCACTCAAAGCCATAGCAACCTCTTTGTCTAGAGCCTTACGGTTGGATTGTTCATGTTTCTGACCAGCTTCTAGCATTCGACGCATCATCACTGCTTCCATCATCTTCTTCCTTTGTGCTGCAAGTTCCCTTGCTCTGTACCCCTCTTTCATTGCAAAATAAACTAATCTATGTTGGGTCGTTTTGTCCTGTTGCAGAAGCCATCCTACTGTATCATTTGTCCGTCCTCTCACCTTTCCGTCTACAAAACCAGCTGTCGCATTAGGGGCCCGACGCCATAAATAGTCAGTCATTCCTAATATTCTCTCAGCTGCCATGTTGTGTGAAGGAGCAGTTGAAGCTTGTGTCAACTGCTCAACTGTAGGGCTAGAAAGGTCGCCACTGGTATATCGAACAAACTGGCGGTCAAAGACCATAACAATTTCATGTAATATTTGCTTCAAAGTTTGCTTTACTTTATCCCTGTGGGATTCAATATTGTTGATGATTGCTGTCAGCACCATGTCTGAAGCTGCATCAATGGGTTCATTAAAAACATTCACAGTGGGACATAACAACTCTTCTGGCTCAGCAGCAAACCTGTCCAAAACATTTTTAGAGCTTTGTATCACAGGGACCATGTCTAAATTCATTGAATTTGCATAGAATTTAGTCATCCATGGCCCTGTGACTGTTTTTCCGATTAACCCGAGTGCAATTAATTGAGCAACAACCCTAGGGTCATCCAGCTCTTCCTTAATGCTTTTTTTAAGGTTGGTGCCTCCTAATTCAACAAATTTCTTCAGCTCTTTCAGATATAAAATTATAATTCCAGCTGAATGGAATAAAATGTGCAACCGGTTACCGACGTACCGAAGGAAAACTCCCACTGGAATATTTTTTTCTCTAAAATAGGTCTTGAACCCGCTAGGGTCTCCACTGGATTGCTTGTATCTGAGCTTGGAAATACTCAAAATACAGTGCAATGTCTTGTTGCCTATCTCAGTATCATTTTCCAATGCTCTTCTGGCACCAGCAGCAAAACTATCTAGCGGATGAACATTGCAATTCAATTCCAGCAGGTGTGTCTGTAACAAAGTATTCAGCTGGTTTACAACACAATGATTCACAGCTGCCCTATCTGTCACATTGGATTTAATGGTGGATATAAGAGTTTTGTACAGCTGCTCTAAATTTGGATGATTTATGTATTTACAATATATGTTTACAATATCTTTTAACTTAACACTAATATGTTCTATGTAATCTACAGCTTTACCACCAGGTAAAGGTTTTACATCAACAGCAAGAGTTTTACCTGCAGCAGAAATATGGATTTCATTTACATGACTACCATCAACGGTGGTTGCATCCCATGACAGTGTAGCACCATCAAGGGATGCAAGTGCCTCGCCAACCTGCAGATCAGCTAAAATGCCTATTTCATAAGCCATTTGAGCCACTGTAGATTTGCGAGGCACGCAGTCAAGTTTCATTCCAGCTTCCTGCTCCAGGAAAAACTGTAATAGCTGTCCAGCAGCTGACACAGAAACATTTTTCAACAAAGATTGGTACATACAAATTCTCATAGAAGTACCATAATGCTTTCCTTCTTTGGTTACAATAGTTTGTCCCTCTTCTTGGGGTTCTTGCATGTTGATGGCATTATCATACATTAATTCTAAATCATTGACCATTGATTTTAAATTTTTGATGGTTTTGTTTTTGATCTTGACCACATTTTCTAGTGCTTCAATTTTTCTTTCTCTTCTTGATAATTTTTTCTTTAAACTGGCAACTTGATTCAGTTTCATTTTGTATTGGATGGAATCTGCAAACGGATTGCAGTTAAGTTTTTTTTTAATCTCTACTTTCTCTGCTTCCAACTGTCTATTCTTTTTCTCTTGTTTGAGGAGTCTGTCAGTGAGGCGTTTAATTTTTTTATTTAGATCTTTAATTTGAAAAACTTTATTTGATTGAAGTTCATTTTGATAGAATTTTAAACTAGTTTTCAATTTTTTATTTGATTTCAATAACTGTTCTGTAGACTTTCTTTTGTATGCACAACTTACACAGTCTTGTTTAAGTTTTAAAGGTGAGGCTTGTTTTGGGGGGATTAGTGTTGTTATTAATTCAGGTGCTAACTTAGAGACAATCCCCTTTTCTTTAGGTACAGGCTCTTGAAATGGCATTTCCATAAAATTTATAATTTTATCCCATTGTGCTTGTGGCTTAAGAGATCTAAATTTAACACATAATCTGTTGATTTTATTATAAAGTTGATGACTGTTACTTGATGCTGGTATTATATCTTCCAAAACTTGCACTGCCTTTTTAATTTGTTTTTTATTTTCATACCATATATGAATTATATGGCCTTGCTTTATGCCAGCTGCTGTCCGAAAGTCAGAATACTGATTAATCAGAATTGGTAAATCTTTGGCAGAATGCTTATCAGGGCTCCCAGAGCCTGTAGATTTACCACCTGCTGAAGTATTCATTTCCTCATCCATACTCTTGATCATATATCTAGAGGAAAAGAAATCAACATTAATACTACTGTAAAAGTAGAATTTATTGTTTTAATAGAGGCAAGTGTGTAGCATAATAAAGTAAGGGATAAGGAAATATATGCTTAAAATAATTTCTTTTCTTGAGTGGTAATTTATTATTGGTTATTAGCTTGATGTGCAAAAAAAAAAAACCCACTGGCTTTCTTCAACAGCCTTTAACATATTTATACATCTTTTATTTTTAAAAGGCAATCATTCATTTGCAATAAACTCTACGATTAAGGAACAAGTGAACATTTATAAAGGCGACGCCGGCCCCCACGCCCCTATACTGGGCTATAGGCTTTCCGGTCTCGCCATATTTTTTTATTATAAAATGGCGTTATTGTGGTGAATCAAACACCCTTTTTTCGGTCAAAATACCACTAGAAAACGTACCTCAAATTAGATGAAATCATTATTAACTTATAATATACATAATATAATTTTTGAGAATACAAAGAGATAGCTTGATAAACTAACCTTTCTATCAAAAGTTGTCGTTGAAACACGCACAAAATTAGACCACGTTTCGCAATATTATAACTTGGAGAAGGAAGAGAGAAAAGTAATGCAGTT